ATTCATTGTATATGGCTTTAGTTATGTTGAGGTATGTGCCCTCCAGTCCAATTCCCTCTAAGACTTTGAACATACATGCATGCTGAATTTTGTCAAAAGTCTTGATGGCTTAGTGGTAGGGAGCGCTGACTGCTCTTGCAGAGGACCCGGGTTCAATTCCCAGTGCCCACATGGAGGCTATGAACCGTCCTTGACTCCAGTTCCAGGGGAATCTGAAGCTCTCTTCTTATCGCGGCATTGCACAACATGGGTGCTCTTGCGTGCATGCAGGCAATACACTCATACACATTTAAAAAAATGAAAATAAGGGTTGGGGATTTAGCTCAGTGGTAGAGCACTTGCCTAGCAAGTGCAAGGCCCTGGGTTCGGTCCTCAGCTCCGAAAAAAAAAAGACAAAAAAAGAAAATAATAAAATTTTAAAAAAATTTTTTATTTTTTAGAAGCAGTACTTCATTACAGCTTTAACATACTTAATAACAATTTCCAGAGCAAAGATACATATGGGAATGTTTCTAGTTTTTTTTTTCCATTTAGAATGATGTTGGCTGTGGGTTTGTTGTATACAGCTTTAATTATGTTGAGGTATGTTCCCTCCAGTGAAATTCTCTCTAGGACTTTAAACATAAAAGCATGTTGAATTTTGTCAAAGGCCTTCTCTGCATCTATATCACCAGGGGACCAGAAGAGGGCAAGGGCAAGATCTTGGTGCATGAGTCTCTAATCTGATTGTATCTGATTATTACTAGTCATGGTCGGTTGCACTCGGATCCTTGGCACCTATGTATGGATATAAAGTCATTGGGTAGATTTTAATGGTAATGTTTATCACCTCTACTACTTAACATGATGTAAATTTTTATGCTTCCTCCTCAAATATAACTCATTTTTTAAATTGGTTAATTTTTTTGTGTGTATAGCATCCAGAACATCCCAAACAATCTTATTCTTCTATATACCCGCTTCCCAGATGGCACCCTCCCATAGCCGCCCCCCACCAGAGCCCTTCTACTCTGTCTTCCCTGCTACTGTCTGCTGTGTTGTCAGCACCCCCAGCCATTCCCCGCTACTTTGTCCATCCGGTGAATCTAGTCAGCCTATTTAGAGGTCTTTGTTTTAGGAAGGTCAGCTGTTCCTCATCTAGCAGCAATCAGTTATCAATATTCCTTTAGGTAAGACTGGGGTCTGCTGTTCATTTTCCCAGTTCTATGCTGGGTTACTATCTGGGAGTCCCTTTGGCCACCCTGGCCAACAACTCAAAAGAAGGTATCTCCTATCTGGCATTGTTTCTTGTTATGTAGCCTTTAGCTAAACATATGGACTCTAAAAAAATTATATTGGCCCCTTTAGTCTTTGGTTATACTTTCCGTTTTGGGTGTTTAAGGCCATACAGTTGGCCCAGATAAACCAATTTAGTTTTACTTTCAAGGCTGTTTGAGGATCTGTTCCTCAGGGGTCACATGGGCTTGGGAGGAGCCCCTGGCTCCTTTCTTTTACCAGTTCCATCTACATGAAGGTAAGTCAAAGGACCTGCTTGACCATGGCCGGCTTCGCTTGGAAGCATGGAGGAAGTTTCCTCTATGTTGACCCTCCTCTTTGTAGACTGGACACTGGTTCAAGTCCATCTTGTGGGGTCTCCATGGCCTCCTTGATCAAGAGTATAGGTGACTCACCATAGTTACAGGACCTTTTGAGAGATGCTCATAGTCCCCTGGAACTAGCCGACCTAGGAGGGCAAGGAGCAAAAACTGTCCTTTATGTCCCTCTGACCAAATTAGTATAGGCCTCAAAGTATGTTTGTTAAACATCCAAGAAGGTTAGTTCCACCAGTCTGGTACTTTTAATTACCGTGTGCCATGTCGATAAAGCTTGGGCAAACAAACAAACAAAACAAAACAAAACAAAACAAAACAAAACAAAATGTGAACCCTTTTCTGCATCTATTGAGATGACAATGTGGTTTTTGTCTTTGAGTCCATTTATATGATTAAGGACGTTTACTGACTTGCATATATTGAACCATCCCTGCATCTCTGGAATAAATTCTAATTGATCACAGTGAATGATCTTTTTGATGTACATCTGTATGCGGTTTGAAAGTATTTTGTTGACATTTTTTGCCTGTATGTTCATTAAGGATATGGGTCTATAGTTTTCCTTTTTGCTTGTGTCTTTGGGTTTGGGTATTAGAGTGATGCTGGCTTCATAGAAGGAATTTGGGAATTTTCCCTCTGTTTCTATCATTTTGAATAATTTAAGTAGTATTGGTTGGAGATCTTCTTTAGATGTCTGGTAGAATTCTGCTGTAAATCCATTTGGGCCTGGGCTCTTTTTAGTCAGGAGGCTTTGTATTACTGTTTCAATTTCCTTATGTGTTATGGGTCTGTTTAAACTGTTGATTTCTTCTTGGTTTAACTTTGGGGGTTCCCATGATTTTAGACATCCAGCCATTTCTTTTAGATTTTCAAGTTTAGTAGCATATAGGTTTTTAAAATATCCCCTTATAATAGTCTGGATCTTTTGGATGTCTATTGTGATGTTTCCCCTTTGAATTCTCCTCTCTGAATTTGTTGATTTGGATTTGCTCTTTCTTTCTTTTGGTTAACTGGGCTAAGGGTCTATCTTATTTAGCTTTCCAAAGAACCGGCTCTTAGGTTCATTGATTCTTTGTATTGTTTCTATTTCATTAATTTCTGCTCTGATTTTTGTTATTTCTTCTCTTCTGCTGGGTTTGCATTTCATTTGTTCTTGCCTTTCCAGTGTCTTGAGTTGCAGTGTTAGGTCATTTATTTGGGCTCTTACTAATTTAAAATTTTTTAAAAATATTTTATTTTTATTTTATGTGTATGACTACTGCCTGCATGTATGTGAGTGCACCCATGTCGTGCAATGCCACGGAGGTCAGAAGAGGGCTTTGGATTCCCCTGGAACTGGAGTTAAGGACAGTTCATAGCCGCCATGTGGGTGCTGGGAATCGAACCCAGGTCCCCTGAAAGAGCAGTGAGTGCTCTTAACTGCTGAGCCATCTCTCCAGCCCCTGGGCTCTTACTAATTTTTTAATGTAGGCACTTAGAGCTATAAACTTCCCTCTTAGGACTGCTTTTAAAGTGTCCCAGAGGTTGTGTTGTGTTGTGTTTTTGTCCTTTTTGTTGAATTCCAGGAATTCTTTTATTTCTTTCTTAATTTCTCCTTTGACCCACTTATTGTTTAGGAGTGTGTTGTTTAATTGCCATGAGTTTGTGTAGTAACTAGGGCTTTGTCCAGTGTTGATTTTGAGTTTGATTGCATTGTGGTCTGATAGAATGCATGGAATTATTTCAATTTTTTTGTAT